GGAAGCAGAGCCGAAGATCTAAAGACTAGCTAGAAAGCAAGATATCCAACCATTTCCTGCTTCCTAGCAAATCTGAATCTCCCGGGACAGCAGAACAGCTGATGGTCGGAAAAAGGAAAAATAGCAATTTAGCAGGCAAGTTTACAGGGTAAGGAGTGAATGGGCGGGGAGGATTCCTGTGGGCCATGTGGGTGGCCTTGTGTTCCAGTGCAGTCTGAATTAATTGCTTTGCGGGCGAGATTTCTCTGCGGCCCACCAAAATTTGCTCAAGGCCCACTGGTTGGTGACCGCTGGATTAAATGACCTCTAAGGTTCCTTCCAAATCTGTTATTCTATGTTTTAAGGCCAGTTATGATTTCAGTCCAACCCCATTTAGGGTTTTGGAGGATTTTCCAATATAGGTAATCCTCGATTTACAACCGTTCCCTTAGTGACCATTCAAAGTTACAACGGCACTGAAAAAAAAGAGACTTATGACCGCTTTTCACACTTACGACCGTTGCAGCATCCCTACGATTTACATTTGGAAGCTTGACAACTGATTCACGTTTATGACCGTTGCAGTGTCCCAGCGTTACACGATCCCCTTTTGCAGACGTCGGACAAGCAACCTCCAAGGGGAAGCCAGATTCACTGAACAATCGTGTGACTAATTTAACAACTGCAGTGATTCACTTAACGAACGTTGGCGAGAAAAGTCGTAAAATGGGACAGGGCTCCCTTAACAAATTTCTCACTTAACAACTTAAATTTGGGGCTCCACTGCGGTCGTAGGTTGAAGAGTACCTGTAAATGTTGAATTGTGCCGAAGCACTGAAGCTCCTGTTTAAGCAAACTGGGTCTCTGGATTTATGTCCTTAGTATCTTTTGCATCAAGATTCTGGATTACAGAGAGTCCTCAACTTATGAACTTATTGTTGTGGTTTGCTGGCAGCCGGTGCAGCCGGCAGTGGAATTGGACAGTGAGGAAGAAAGGGAACCAGTCAGGGAGTCTGGAGAGGACTCCGATGAGGGTCCTGTGTCCAATGCAGAGATGGGGGACGGGACCATCTGAGAGTGGGGTGCTGCCTCTGGAGCCTTTGGAGTCTGGCAGCAGCGAGGCAGAGGAGCAAGGGGAGCCTGTTCCCAGTGCGCGTATGCACTGAGCTGCTAGATGGTGATAGCAGCTGAAACAAAAGGGGTGACTTGGGAGTAAGGCTGGGAGG